GGCTGCCCAATTGAGACAGTAAAGAATCTATTGGATCTCTGACAGGTATGTTTTTATCCTGCTTTTTCTGCTGAGATCATCATAGTGAGCTGTGCCTTTTTGTTCTTCTGTAGCTGTGTGAGCAATAGGCAGTGAAAAGTGCAGTCAACTGGAGTTTTATTTACTGGTTTCTATATGCCACCTCTATTTCAAGGTGACAAGACAAATCAATGCATCTTGTTTGACAATGAGGAAGCTTGCTTCAACAGTTAATTTACAAAGGCTTGTATGTTATAGCTGCTTTGATGTGAATGCCCTAACTAATTAAAATACATCCCTTAATGGCAACTGAGCAGGAATGATCACCTCTAGCTCTGTCATTTAACAGATTTCATAGCCTAGTCACGAAGCAGAGAAGGAAATGACCTTTGAATTTATGAAATAGGTTTTGTGTATTTAGTAAACAAAGTTCAACACATACAACTTATTTGAATTTACATACACATAAACCCCTGTAATTACTTGGCCACTGGGACAGGCAAATGAAGTATGCAACAGCTGGAGGCAATTCTCAGCTCAGGTTTCCTTAATATATCCAAAACAAAATCAAGAATCACATCTTAAAGATTCTGAATTTCACATTCTACTGTGAGTCTTGATTCCTTTCCCAAGTCCTGTGTCATGTCCTAACAGAGTTTCCCCCCTAGTGATTCCCATTTGTTTTGGGTTTGCTGCACTTCCTTACTTTCCTGTTCTTCTAGATCCAGCTTTGCCCATCCAACCTTCCAAAAGCATACTTCAGCTTCAAAGAGTCAGAAAGCTGACATCAAAAGAACAAGCTTAAACCAATGTTCTTTCTAGGTTCTTGACGTGGTGGATGATAGGCCAACATCGGTCCTGCAGTAAAACCAGAGAGGGAAGAAGAGAAGACCAGGGGCACTTTTCACAACAGGGCTTGAAGATAAACTCAAAATTAAGGTAAAACAAAGTCTCTTAGTCCTTTCTTGTGAGGTTATTGTTTTCAGAAATCTTCAGATTTTATCTCTTCCCCAGAACATGGTAGCACTTCATATACTCCACATCATGCTTTTTCTCTTCATCTTGATAAAAGAAAGAAATTACTTAGAGAAAGAACAATCTTTCACTGGAACCATATCTCCAGGGATATGGTAGTTTCCATCGCTGGAGGTTCTCAAGATGCAATTGCGCAGCGTGCTAGATAATCTCATCTAGGCTCCCTTTCCCATGAAAGACCGGATGATCTCCTGTGAACACTTTCAACCTGGGCTGTTCCATGATTCTGTTAATGAAGAATCTATTAAAATCCACTCTTGCCTTTTTGGGTTTTCAGTGCTTCTTCGTGGTCTCTCAGAATTAGGATAGTAGGTAAAGCACAACCAACTCTAACTTTCTTTGAGGCTAGTTTATCAAAATAATATTTTGGTCTCTCCAGCCAAAACAGTTGTGATTCTCTTAGGTTATCTTCTGCAGTTAGATTTTAAAACCTCCTTCCAACCTTTTGAAAATACCTCATAAGAATAACACCTTCCTGTATTAGATAGAAGAGATTCAGAATATATTTCAACCAACAACCTGTCCTGAGAAAAGGGCTGCTTTTGTCTTCTGACACATATTCTTGGTACTACTTTCTGCAACCTGGTTTTGGCTTTCAGACAAGAATGATTAACCATTTCCTCTAGCAATAGATATTACTTATCTGTGATGGCTTTATATTTGCAGCTGTCTGTCAAGAGTACCTTGTTATCCTGCTTACAGAAGTCGGCAGTCTTAAAATGACTACGGGCCTTTGGAGAAATCTCATAAAGTAGTTCTGGATAATTTCTTTTCTCTCCCAGTGGATTTCATACACACTTCACTCCAATGCTTCTGATTGATAAACTGTGCTTCTGAGGCAACCAAGAAGGTTGTGGGAGAGTACACACAGGACGAACCCTCTAAAGCAAAGGGTGCAGTTAAGTGCTATTATGCAGCATGTCAAAGTAACTCATTCCTTGGCATGTCTTATTTACAATTAGATAAGTGTTGGTACACAGGAGAAGTAGCCAACAATATGGCAAAGGTTTTATCACTCCTTCTGATGAGACATCTGCAATTTGTCAGCCCTGTGGTCACATTAAGGACTGTGTGTTTGACTAACAACCACTGGAAATTTATTTATATATATTATTTATTATGGTGATATGCACATTTGCATTGAGAATGGAACTCGTCATGTCTATGTCTGTGGCACGTCAGGGCTACATTACAGTTCCCTCCACAGGGAGATAATAAAGCAGTTGTGGAGAGAACCTCCTTCACCCTCCCTCCCTTCTCAAAACAGGTTGGAGTCTGACACAAAATAAGGCAGCGTAGTGACTGTGTACTGACTGCACTTTTTGGGTATGAGGGCTCCCAGCAGTTTCACTGTCTGCCTCCTGGGTAAAGAATATATGTAAAGTTTGGACTCTGGTGATGTAAGAAACTACTTCTTTCCTGATGTTAAGCTGTTACAAGTGAAGTTGCAGAGGCAGTGGAGACAGATCTTCATTCCTTTGTCGGAGAGGAGGTGCATGTCCTGGTCCTGTTCACCCGTGAATTCACTTTCTCTATGAGATGGAAGTGTTCCATCATGTTGTCCTATAGGATATAATACAAAACGGGTGTTTATAGAAGGAGCTTTTTGGGAGAGTAAAGGTAAAACTCCCTAAAAATCAGGATTTCATTGGAGAAAATGTTGGAAAATATTTTTTTATCTTTGGTGGTATTTTTGTTTTGATGTTATTACTTTATCATTGATAGCTGCAATGTGCATATGTTACAGATCATTTATATGTGTTCCTGACTTTGCTCACATTTCTCATGGTATCTTTTTAAGACACTTAAGATAAAAACTTTGCCATTAAAATACCACATTTCCCTATTTTAAAAGGAAAATTATGGTCTTTAATTAGCTAGCATTTGTGAAATGCTTGGGGATCTTGGGGATCAGGTATTGCCAAAGTATAAAATGTTATAATTAAAAACACTATTCAGTTCTCAGTTTGTTTTTACCCTAGCTGTAATTAGACAGGGAGATTTCTCATTCAGTATGCACACTGACATCTGTTTCTGGGTATACAGCTTCTGGGATTTGGCATATTTTCATCTGCTAAATGATGAGACAGAATAGCAATCCAGTTCACAGCTCATGAATTTTCCATAGTTTATCTCTCCAGACTGCTTGAGCTGACTTTACATTACGTATGACTGTACATTATGAAATGCTTCTCAAAGACATTTGATAAAAGATATACTACTCTGAGCGGACCCCAAATTCTTCTCTAAGTTAACGCCTTTAAGATGCACAACAGTAAACAGTATTTCCTCATCATTGCCTACTCACACAGCTCAAAGACGTGCTGTGAGCAAACTACAACATCCACCTTTCTGTGAGCAAGTGCAAAGCTCTCAAGGAGAACTAAATAACCAAATATATTGATAATAGAGTCTGATCCACTTTTGACCTCTAGAAGTGCTGTCGATTTAATATTATATTTTCAGCTATCTATAGACTTCTGAAATCCTGTTTAGTGATGCTTGGGATGAATGTGGTCTCCTCAGGGTAGTTAAACAATTGCTCTGTTACATTTTGGTGCAATCAGCATGTGGCCAGCAAGCATGAATTTATATTGAAGTTGCCTTCAATCAGGTTTCTTGAAGGAAGAGGCTGTTTAGCAGAATACTGAACTTGATGTTACATATCAGCTTCAATATTTCAAATCTGATCAAGTTTAGCGTTGGTTTAAAATGTTTTACAATTCAACTCAAAAATTTTTAACTTTCCTTGAACAACTGAGTGGCAAAGTACTAAATTTACCTACTGCACAATCCTTATAAGCAAAACTTAACTATGTTAGAGCAATTTCACAGTAAGTGACAGATGTGTACAAGCTGAATGAAAAGTATTTAAGTCTAAAATGCATAACTTCCAGTCACTGTGACAGCACAATCCATATTCATTGCATCTCATCAACTCCATACTAAACATATGAGGCACAATAACATATGGCAAGCTGCCCATTCCCAGTCAGTTGAATTATCATTATAAAAACAGCAAAAGACAAGAAAATACCTTAGAAGGTTGTAGAGGGTATAAAGTCTTGCTGAGACTATTATTCAGAGGCAAGGAGATTTGGGTAACTGTTCCATACCATCTTACACCACTGTGTTGAGAATCAGCAAACTGGTGCTCTTGCATGTTTTAGGAAGTTGGTTTGATCATTGGATAATGTTTACTGAAGAGACATACATTTTATTGCTTGCTTGTGTAGGTTTATCACCCTGGAATTGTAGGCTTATGATTCTGGAATTGTATATTAAATAGTATTCTATATAGACCACTAGGATTCCCAATAAGATGAGCAGGAAGATATGGCCCTGAATACTAAGCCATATGAATCCCATGGTGTCTCAACATGCCTTGTAGGAGGCATCCTATTTGAAGGATATTTCAGGTGGTTCTTTTGTCTTGAGAAATGTTGGAGAATATTTCTAATGGACTTCAATCCCATGATGCCAACAACATGTATAATCTTTAAAGTAGCCTCCATGGCTACTTCAGAACATCTTAGCACATCTCCAGAGGGATGGAGATTTTGAGATGGGGTAGCAAACGACATGTGGGCAAAAGGAGACAGCGCTGTGCATTTTGACGAGCCAAAGAAAAAACCTAGGGACATGCATATCTAGAGGCACACTCTGCCTGCCTTGCAGGTGGATGTGTTTTCATTGCCTCTGCAACTCCTTCTGGGGCCTCCTGCCACCTTCTGCTCCTCAATTTACGAGACTGGTGACGGGCAACCTCGGCGTCGCCTCCTGTGCATGGCAAGAGGGTTGCTGGAGCGTGGAGGAGACAGCGAGGAGGGGAGGAGGACGGAGGGAGGCGGGAGTAGGGGCCTGAGGAGCCCTCCCGCCCCCGGGGCCCGACCTCCTCGCGGCGGCTGCGGCGGGCGAGAGGCGGCGCCTGCTGGAGGACGCGGGCAGGGAGCGCGGGGTCGCCAGCAGCACCGGGCAGGGTTGGGCCGGGCGGCAGCGCTCCTCGGCAGCGCCCGTGCAGCAGTCCCTCGGCGCCGGCAGCATGGGCAGCTCTACCTCCAGCCTGCTGGACGAGAGCAAGTGCACTTACATCCGAGGTAGGGCTCTGCTAGGGGGAGGCGAAGCGGCCAGCTGCCTCCGGAGACTTTTTCCTGAAAGAGCTGCACTGCAGGCACGCTTTCTGGTGGGAAAGCTCGCAGAAACTCACCCGCGGCGCGGCGGGGTTCCGAGCGGGGCAGGGACTGGGACCGGGACCGGGGCCGGGGCCGGGGCCGGGGCCGGCGCGGTGCAGAGGCCAGCCGGGTGTCCCAGGCACGGAGCGGGCTCGGGAGTCGGCGGCGTCAGGGCGGTTTGGGCACATCGCTGAGCTGGTTCGGAAAGGGACCAGTGTCCCATGGGGTTTTGAGCAGACGGTTTCCTACAAGACAATGCTGTAAAAGTTCCCCGTGAGGGAGTTGGAGCGTGCCGAAGAGTAGACGGTAAAGACTGAAAAGAGTGTGGAGAGATGCGACCTGTAACTGCGTGAGAGTCCCAATTCCCCAGCCCGGCCGTTGAAACCTTTAAAGCACCTTGGTTTTGCCAGGGTAGATAGGTTCAAGACTATATAGCTCGATGTTTTGCAAAGCCATTGAAGGCAGTGGGAAAACTACTGGGTCAGTATTTAGGTAAACGACTCAGACTTGCATGAGAACAATGCTTTATATCATTAAAATGTTAGGAGAGAGAAAATGGAAAAAAAAACAAAAACAAAAAAAACCCCAAACCTGATTTAAATTTATGCATATTACACTTAAACTATGAAATAAAAGTGCATAATTCTGTATTTTGGGGGGTGTTTTTGTTATTTGAGTGGTTAAAATATTAAATACTTCTTGCTCCTGTCTACCTACACTCCTCACCAGTAAGGTAGCAGGTAAAGTGTTTACAAAGCAAATTTTAAGGCTGGGGATTCACAAGTGAAGTAAAAGTTTGCATGTAAAAAGGAAGCCCTGTTCTGGTATATTATGTATTATGCATCTGGAGCCTGTAAGAGTCCTCTGAACTGGAAGATCAAACTCAGGGCTGATGACTAAGGGCATAGGGTGACTCCTGGGTGGTGCCCACAGTCAAGCTTGTCCTTTTATTCTGTTCCTTTGGGATTTTTTTGTGGCTTAGAGAGAGTGCAAGTGTTAAACTGCTCCTCTGTTAGGCTTTTGAAATCACAGTGTATCTTTCAGTAGATTTCCATAGTGGAATCATCCAAATATTACGTGGCTTTCACTCAAAAAAGCAATCAGCCAAGTATCCAACCTCACATGCAGAGATTTTTGTATTGTGTCCGCTCAGCGTTGTCATTTTCACCTGTCCCACTGTGGGTGGTTTCAGGTCCCATCAGAGCCTTGAAGGTACAATCCCCCAATCCCCATGTATTTCTTCTTTTCTTTACACTCATCCCTATGCTGCAGCCAAAATTGCACTTCCACAATTCAGCATTTCGAGGTTTCTGGTCCCTGACTGAGTGAGGGCAGTTAAAAGCATCTGAACAGGCTGATGTCCAATTATTGGAGAAAAGGGAAAAAAAAAAAAAGAAGGAGATACAGGGAACTTACCAGCTTCTTTACAGCTGTGCAAGAGGAAATTGTCATTGCCCTGAACATCATCTAGAATTAGAAGAGGGAACTCATGCCAGAGGGTTGGGAAATCCGTATCTGGACCCGTGTGAAACTTGACTGGACGTATGTATCTGAAATTTCCCTGTAGCGAAAAGAGAGAGTGCTTTAGCCTTGCTAAGAGTTGTGCAGCTCTTCAGACACATCTCTAGTTTGCCTATTACATCTTTGCAGATGCAACTGCTAAAGCAAAATCATTGTGAGAAAAGGAATTAAGACATAAGGCTTATTCCCTGGCTCAAGTCTGCCATTCTTGCTGTGAGGATGCCCCACTCCAAACTCTTGCTTTGAAAAATAATTTATGAGGCACTTTATACAAAGGCTGCCCATAAATTAATACTTCTGAGAAGGAGAAGAAATTGGGAAGAGCGTCTTAAATTGAAATAGAGTGTGGTCCAGCCAGCTCACCAAACCTACTGCTCATGTTGAGGCTGGAGTCTGCAAGTCTGATGTATTTTCAGGGCAAGCGCCATGGTAAGCTCTGCTTGTTCAAAGAGGAATCAGCCTGAATCAGTGATTTTGTAGATTGAATAAGCAGCACAATTTTTAGCTGGCTTTGTAAAGATTAGGTGGGTTTTACTGGGGGTCAGGTAGCTCTGTGTTTGATTTTTTTTTCCTCCAAAGATGGTGCAGGAAGGTCCCCAGTAAAAAGGGAAGGGGAATACATGCGTTTTGTCAGTAGAACTGTAGATACATAGTGCTTGAATGGGATTGCACTGGTCATGGAGATTGTGACACAACAAGCTCAAGGGTGCTTCCTTGTACATTGCACACGCTGAGACTGCAGCCAGCGACATTCTCCAAACTTCATGCATTCTGGGATGCTCACTCATATTGGCCCAAATACCAATGGACTCAGGACAGGAAATCCTAGTTTGGTCTAGATCACCTCTAATGCTCCCTCTCAACCAGTGTTTCAGTAAACTAATTTACACTTGCAATCTTTATGTCCTGATTTCAGCACTAAATTTTTTCATCTCCCGTAGCATAGCTTGCCTCATGCCCCATCTCCTTGCTTTTGCAGCAGAAGCTTGCTGTGATTGAACACTGGCATCCTGCATCCTTCGAGATAGCTCCTGCCATGCTAACCTCAACCTGCAGCAGATAAAATTATTTGGGCAGCATGTCAGCTCTGCAGCATGCCAGGCTGCTCCCTGCAAGGTTGGGGAGTTAACCAGTATTGCGTGGGGCAGGGTTAAACATGACTGTTTGAATGTGTAGTAGGATTTCCACGTGGTTGTTGTCATGGTGGTTTAATTTGATTTCTTGTTGACGTAATGATAATTCAATTTGTCTGAAGCTTTATCCCTGTGTTGTAAAGCCTTGTAGTTGGTATTTAGGCAACATTTGAGCTGAAACACAGTGTAACAAATGGAATTAGGGACTGAGGACTTAAAGGAGTAGATGGAGTTGTCAGCAATAAACTGATACAGTTTCTTCATCAACATATGTACAAATCTACTGTCTTTCTAATTTGCAAAAGTCTGCTTACATTGTGTGAGAGATGAGAGTAGAGCAAAACAAGGGCAAAGAGTATGTGATATGTAAAATTATGTAAAAAAATATGTAAAACCGTATATGTAGGTGTTTATATAACCAGCAAGAACATGGCCCTCAGAGCATGGGAGACGCTTTGCTGCATGCAGTTCCCCACAGGTGAATAAGCATGACTCTTGTCAGACCAGTTGGAGAAATGAACCCCAGAGAAAATCATGAAGGCATCCTATGCAGAGTCTTGGTTACTGAATACAAAGGCTGTGATTTCCACGAAAACCTACTGCAACTTCTGTGCTTTTAAGTAAGAAGTGGGAGTATTGAACCAACCAAATTGCAAATTGTTGAAACCTGTGTATACTTGTACATGGGGCAATATCTTGAGCCATACCTGAAAATCAGCTACTATAACTATTGACCTGGTAATATGGGTTTCCTGTGGCAAATAATGCCTAAGAGGAAAATACACAATGCCAACATGTAATTTTTCAAGTGGTCTTCACTTTACGATGTAAGTGAGGCTGTGTTTGAGATTGCAAGGGCAGGGATCATCCTCATGAACTTTGAATCGAGGACAGGCACTTTGTAAGCTGCCAAAGACTTATTTGCAGATGGCAATGTTTTGTGAAACATTTTTTACACTCAGAAAATCTCCACATTAAGAAATTATCTCTCATGAAGTTGTATTTTGCAAGCCATCACAAAATCTTTTTGTCTTTTTCAAGTAGAAATCAATGAAAATTGATCATTATTGTGGGGTAAAATTGTGAATAAAATGTCAAGACTCAATATTTCTTACGCATACCTGAAGGAAATGAATGTCATAGTAAAATAATGAAAAAACAAGTCATCAGGGACTCCTGTGAGTGTGGAAGACAGCCTGAGCCCACTGTGAGGAGCTGGGTGGAGGGTATCCAGAGGAGAGTAGGAAGCCATGTAGTGCCAGCAAGGAGAAATGGGGCAGAAAGCCAGGCCACACACACTGCAGCATTGCTAGTCTTGAAACTGTAGCAGTTTCAAAGGTGTCTTCTCTTCTGTGTAGCAGAAACCTGTTTTTCTAACCATACCTGTGGAAAAATATTTTTTCCATTTATTTAAGATCCTCATGATTTTTTAAATGCACACACATTATAAGCAGTGAAAGGATTTAAAGCCTCCTGAAATTAAAAGAAATTTTAATAGTAATCCCTCTAGGTTTTGAACCGAGCCTTTAAAAAAAAGGAAAGACTTGTGGCAGAAATAATCCTTCTTTGTAGGGTTTTTGTGGGACTATATGGGAATTACTCAGGATGTGAGTGAAATAGATGGTGTTTAAAAAATGTCAGTAATAATTAAGAGACTGGGAGTTGGTCAAGTGAAAAGAGTTTATTAAAAAAATTCATGCTTTCAGCTTGATGAAGCATGGGCTAAACTTGTGATGGGACGTGTTTGTTGCATGATTTGTCTAATGACATTTAGTGAGTGTTACACCCAACAGGGAGCAATATAGGGCAGTAGTGGGGAGTTATGGACTCAGGGTGCAACCATGGAATTGGGGAAAAAGATGAAAGTGCCTGTTAAACCACTTAGTAGTATGCCCTGGGAGATTGTGCCAGAGGTGTCAAGATCGATGCTAGAAAATTCTAGCTTTAGGCCTCTAATATTAGGCAAGAAACAATCAAGGACGCAGGTCTCACAATGGGGCAAAGGTGGAAATGACCCTGATAGTGTTAATGATTTTCCATTTCTGCAATCTCAGCAGCAGAAGTAGGGGATCAAGCTCTGCTCTGTCAAGTGTGGTCTGTTGGGACCAAGTATTTTTAAACTTGAAGAGATGGGGAGATTTCAAGTACCCAATGCCAGTAATTTCACAGGTACATCTTCAAAAGAGATTAGAATAAAAATATTGAACTTCTCTGAAGGCTTTTTTTTTATTAAAGGTGTTCAGCGTACTTGACCATATCCAATCTGACCAT